AACATTGAACACCTAAGACCTTATCTCTTCTCACACCTAGCGATTGTAGAAGCACGTGGTATTAAAGCCGGCTGAAGCTAATTTGTTGTGAGAGAAAAATATTATAGATTCTTTCTGATAAGCCGGCTGATAAGTTCAAGCGAACATCAATGGAGGTTCCATCGAACACCCGCCCACCGGAAACACACACGAACGTTGGTTGGCATCACATCACGATCACGATCACATGACGGCGCAGCGTTGGGTTTTCGTCCGCCGAGCATGAACTCGGCGTTGATCGGCCGATCGCCGGACGTGAAGGCGGCCTTCCACGCCTCCAGCTCCACCGTCAGCACTTTGGTCGCCGCGTCCTTCCCGTCCTTGCCGCCACCCTCCTTTCCGCCCTTCTCCTTGCCGTCCTTGTCCTTGCCCGGCGCCACCACGTCCACGGGGCGCCGCAGCTTCTCCGGCAGGGCCTTGGCGTCCATGGTCCCCGTCCCCGTCACCGGTTCTTGCCCATGTCCATGCGCACTGCTCCACCCTGCAGACCGTCCCATGATCTCAGATCGAAAAGTGGACACGGTCGAGATCCCTTGCTCTTCGGACGGGCACGGCATGCGCGGCGGGCAACTCCTCCTCATCGTCCTCATCGACCTCCTCCTCGTCATCATCCTCCTCCTCCTCTCTTCCTCCTCGGTGTCGCCCCGTTGTGTCGTCATCAATCATTGGGGGCCCCGATCATGGCCGGCGCGGGCGGCTTCAGCGCAGATCTCGGTGTCGACGTCTGCGCGTCGGGCATGGCCGGCGGTGGTGGGGAGCTCGCAACCCTAGATTGGGGAATGGAAGGCCATGATGTCAAGGGAGTCAGAGTGGTGTAACGTGTGGTGATGCGAGGAATAGTCTGTCCGAATAGCCGAAGTCGATTTCCTTTTTGCGCATACAACCTCAAAAAATTAATGATTTTAGTAGAAATTGCCTAGAAGGAAATCTTTTGGTCATGTTTAGATCACCTTTCGATTATTAGAACCAGATTATAAATAAGATTATACTAATTTAGGTTATTAGTTGTAATATAATCTTGGTTAGCTAAATCCCTAGATTAGTGTTAGATTATGCTTGAAATGGATTATGTACATTATAATAGTAGGTTGGCCAAAATATTATAACTGAACTTATAATATATGGTGTTTAGATCAATTAGTTGTTCGGCTTATGATTTCTGTGATTGATAAACCAGCTGAAGCTGAGTTATTGTGAGAGAAAAATACTGTTTCATGGCTGATAAGCAATGCGGATAAGCATTGGATGGCTTTTGAACTTGTGTTGTAACGTACTCTCTCCGTTTCAAATTATAAGACGTTCTGACTTTTTTTTAGATACATAGCTTTTGTCAAAAGGAAATGCCAGAGCAGCTATCTCTCGATGTTTCAAGCAATTGCCCTGTTCGCTTCGCTGAAAAGCCGGACTGAAAAATATGTTGGCTATTTTGCTGTGAGAGGGAAACACTGTATCATGCCTGATAAGCCAGTCTTCTCCCAAACGCATCCTGAAAAAAAAATGCCTCCAATCAGTCACCTTTGCCTGAGAGTGAAGCTGGGAAGCATCAGTAATTCCAATCTGATAAACATTACCATTCGATTGTGATTCCCTACTGTACGCCATAGCATTTCTCACACCTCGCAGATAGCTCTTTCCTCTTCTCATCAGAAAATAAGCCAGATAAGGTTAGCTTTTGGCCCCGTTCGTTTCGCTGAAAAAATAAATCGATATACTGTTCCAACTGATTTGTTGTGAGAGAAAAAAACATTGTTCCAACTGAAAAAACAAGCTGAAAAAGGCGAATTATAAGAGAAGCGAGCAGGACATTTCAGCCTTGTATGTAACATCTAACCTGAGAATTTGCCTCTCTACGAGCTTCTTGATCTTGTTATTTCCATTCCATGCATGGATCTTGCATGCTGTGAGAAGAGATGCCCGTACCAAGGATTTGCTTTGAAAGGCATAATCAGTATAAAGTTGTAAGCGTCGTCAACCCACACGGCCTCCTTTCTTTGTCATAGGAACAAACACACAAAGACACACAACACCACCATCATCACTGCAGATTCACAGCTCTGCAAAAGCCGGAGCCTATCCTGACATGACGATTGTTTTCAAAATGCGGCATTTTGTTCCGTTCAGCAGAATACAAATCCAATGCAAACAAGTAGAAGTACCATGTCTCAACATCACATTTCCAAAAATCTCAAATTTATTATGTTGTTGTGCACTGCTACTAGTGCATGCATTGCAGCGGCACTTCCCAGAAGCTTGCACTCTGCATATCTGTCTTGTCTGTGGTGTGTAACTACTACTCCCAGTTCTACTTCTATCTCTGTCGCGTGTTCCATCTTGTGGCTCGATCACCGTGGCTGCCAAGAAGGCGAACACTTTGAACACCCCTAAGACATCTCTTCTTCACACCTAGCGACTGTAGAAGTATGTGGTATTAAAGCCGGCTGAAGCTAATTTATTGTGAGAGAAAAATATTATAGGTTCTTTCCGATAAGTACCGATAAGTTCAAGCGAACATCCATGGAGGTTCCATCGAACACCGCCCACCGGAAACACACACGAACGTTGGTTGGCATCACATCACGATCACGATCACATGACTGGCGCAGCGTTGGGGTTCTCGTCGCCGAGCATGAACTCGGCGTTGATCGGCCGATCGCCGGACGAGAAGGCGGCCTTCCACGCCTCCAGCTCCGCCGTCAGCACTTTGGTCGCCGCGTCCTTCCCGTCCTTGCCGCCACCCTCCTTCCCGCCCTTCTCCTTGCCGTCCTTGTCCTTGCCGGCGCCACCACGTCCCACGGGCGCGCAGCTTCTCCGGCAGGGCCTTGGCGTCCATGGTCCCCGTCCCGTCACTGGTTGTTGCCCATGTCCATGCGCACTGCTTCCACCTCTGACTGGCCCATGATCTCGCATCGAGTGCAGACACGGGCCAAGATCCCCTTGCTCTTGGCCGGCGGCGGCCGCGGCGGGCAACTCCTCCTCATCGTCCTCATCGACCTCCTCCTCGTCGTCGTCCTCCTCCTCCTCTTCCTCCTCGGTGTCGCCCTCATTGTTGCGTGTGGCCATTTGGGGCCCCGACCACGGTGGCTTCAGCGCATCTCGGTGTCGACGTCCGCGTGCGTGCTGGCATGGCGGCGGTGGTGGGGAGCTCGCAACCCTAGATTGGGGAATGGAAGGCCATGATGTTGGGCGGAGCTGTAGTGGTGTAACGTGTGGTGTGATGCGAGGGAATAGTCTGTCCGAATAGCCGAAGTCGATTTCTTTTTTTGCATACAACCTCAAAAAATTAATGATTTTAGTAGAAATTGCCTAGAAGGAAATCTTTTGGTCATGTTTAGAGCACCTTTCGATTATTAGAACCAGATTATAAATAAGATTATACTAATTTAGGTTATTAGTTGTAATATAATCTTGGTTAGCTAAATCCCTAGATTAGTGTTAGATTATGCTTGAAATGGATTATGTACATTATAATAGTAGGTTGGCCAAAATATTATAACCGAACTTATAATATATGGTGTTTAGATCAATTAGTTGTAGAAACTTATGATTTACGTGATTGATAAACTAGGTGGTGAGTTATTGTGAGAGAAAAACATTGTTTCATGGCTGATAAGCAATGCTGATAAGCATTGGATGGCTTTTGAACTTGTGTTGTAACGTACTCTCTCCGTTTCAAATTATAAGACGTTCTGACTTTTTTTTAGATACATAGCTTTTGTCAAAAGGAAATGCCAGAGCAGCTATCTCTCGATGTTTCAAGCAATTGCCCTGTTCGCTTCGCTGAAAAGCCGGACTGAAAAATATGTTGGCTATTTTGCTGTGAGAGGGAAACACTGTATCATGCCTGATAAGCCAGTCTTCTCCCAAACGCATCCTGAAAAAAAATGCCTCCAATCAGTCACCTTTGCCTGAGAGTGAAGCTGGGAAGCATCAGTAATTCCAATCTGATAAACATTACCATTCAGTGTGATTCCTACTGTGTACGCCATAGCATTTCTCACCCTCGCAGATAGCTCTTTCCTCTTCTCATCAGAAAATAAGCCAGATAAGGTTAGCTTTTGGCCCCGTTCGTTTCGCTGAAAAAATAAATCGAAATACTGTTCCAACTGATTTGTTGTGAGAGAAAAAAACATTGTTCCAACTGAAAAAACAAGCTGAAAAAGACGGATTATAAGAGAAGCGAACAGGACCTTTCAGCCTTGTATGTAACATCTAACCTGAGAATTTGCCTCTCTACGAGCTTCTTGATCTTGTTATTTCCATTCCATGCATGGATCTTGCATGCTGTGAGAAGAGATGCCCGTACCAAGGATTTGCTTTGAAAGGCATAATCTGTATAAAGTTGTAAGCGTCGTCAACCCACACAGCCTCCTTTGCTGCAGGAACAAACACACAGCACACAGCACCACCATCACCACAGATTCACAGCTCTGCAAAAACCGGAGCCTATCCTGACATGACGATTGTTTTCAAAATGCGGCATTTTGTTCCGTTCAGCAGAATACAAATCCAATGCAAACAAGTAGAAGTACCATGTCTCAACATCACATTTCCAAAAATCTCAAATTTGTTATGTTGTTGTTGTGCACTGCTACTAGTGCATGCATTGCAGCGGCAGTTCCCAGAAGCTTGCACTCTGCATATCTGTCTTGTCTGTGGTGTGTAACTACTACTCCCAGTTCTACTTCTATCTCTGTCGCGTGTTCCATCTTGTGGCTCGATCACTGTGGCTGTCAGTAAGCGAACACTGAACACCCCGGCACTGTCTCTTCTCACACCTAGCGACTGTAGAAGTACGTGGTATTAAAGCCGGCTGAAGCTAATTTGTTGTGAGAGAAAAATATTATAGATTCTTTCTGATAAGCCGGCTGATAAGTTCAAGCGAACATCAATGGAGGTTCCATCGAACACCCGCCCACCGGAAACACACACGAACGTTGGTTGGCATCACATCACGATCACGATCACATGACGGCGCAGGCGTTGGGGTTCTCGTCGCTGAGCATGAACTCAGCGTTGATCAGCGACTGCTGGACGTAGAAGGCGGCCTTCCACGCCTCCAGCTCCACCGTCAGCACTTTGGTCGCCGCGTCCTTCCCGTCCTTGCCGCCACCCTCCTTCCCGCCCTTCTCCTTGCCGTCCTTGTCCTTGCCCGGCGCCACCACGTCCACGGGGCGCCGCAGCTTCTCCGGCAGGGCCTTGGCGTCCATGGTCCCCGTCCCCGTCACCTGGTTCTTGCCCATGTCCATGCGCACCTGCTCCACCCCTGCACCGTCCATGATCTGCATCGAGTGCAGACACGGTCAGTATCCCCTCCGCCATGGTTGGCAAATCATGCATGCATAGTGAACGGAGCCAAATTCCTTCTGTCCCCTCATCACAAGTGCAAGTGATGTGTACCTTTGATCTTGAAGAGTTTTGCTGCGGATGCGGTTCATGCAGCCGTCACAGTGCAGCCCCGTGGAGCCGATCTTGAGCACCATCGTCGCAACCACCGGCTGCATTGTCATGGCACGACCAAATTCCATCAGTTTCAGATTTCAGAGCAAGCCCTTTTTCCCCCCTCCGGGCATGTGGCACCTAGGCGCAAATTTCGTTTAGTGATCATCATGCGTGGGCGTGGCTCATGTGGCAGCAAGGCGCAAATTTTGTTTAGGCGCAAATTTGGCATGGTGACCGAATCATGCGAACGATCAACGAGGAAAATAACAGAACTCGTGCGGGAGTGGAATAAGAAGGGAGTGTAGCACGTACCATGACGGGATTTTTGTTGTCTTTGCCGCCGCCGCCCTTCCCCTTCCCTCCTCCACCACCACTGTCGCTGCTGCCCTGCTTGTCATCCTTCTCCTTCCCCTTCCCCTCCTCCTCCTGGCGATCAGTCTTGTCATTGCCATCCTACTCGCTGCCTTTGCCCTCCTGCTTCCCGTCCTCATTGTTGGGGCTCTTTTTCTGCTGGTTCCCGCCACCGCCGGTGCCTCGTCCCTTGTTGTTGCTGCTACTGCCGCCGCCGACGAGGTCGACCGTCTTCCGGGTCTTGTCGGCGACGTGGTCCCGCAGCTTCTTGGCGTCGAAGCGGCCCACGACCGTCATGGAGCCCTTGTCCACTTCCATCGCCACGCCCTCCACGCCTGCCAAGGAATCAATCAACACGAGCGCAACCTTCGGCGATCTGTTGGCGTACGTTCTGTTCCATTCCATCCCATTCCACCCACCAGAGCCTCCGCCCTGGCGGACATCACAAGATGGCGTGGCACCGACGACAGAGAGATAGGAAAGGTTGCGTTGCTTGCCTAGGTAGCGGTGGACGGAGCCGTGGATGCACTTGGCGTAGCCGTCGCAATGCATGTCCACCTTGAGCACCGCGGTCACCATGGGCGGCGGCAGATGCAGCTTCTTCCCATCCTTGTCCTTCCCCTTCACCCCCTTCTCCTGCTGGTCCTTCTCCTGTTAGATTGATCTCTCAGCCAATAAGCCCAACGGCCTATTGGGCCTTGATCACGCGCCCTGATCGGGGGCGCCCAACCCTACATGGTTGGTCGGCCCTCGTCGCACTGCGCTATATAAAGTGGTGGGGGCCGGCGGCTGGAGGTACGAGGTTCACCGTGAGCCGCAAACCCCACCGACAAACCCTAGACCGATCTGAGAGGGCGCGTAGCCAGCGGCGGGAAGCTCCACTGACTTCACCGTCGTCACTGCCACACCGTCCGTCTGCATTGCATCGACGTCTGGGCCACCTCTACTCCACCCGTCGCTGCCCGTGCGCAGACCTTCATCACCGAACCTGAGATGGCCGGTTCCAGTTCATCCGCGACTCCCTCCAAGGGCTCAGGTTCAACACCAACACCTCTCTCTTTATCTCTCCTATCTTACCCCTCTGTTCATCCCGTATTCAAAGAAACAAACCCTAAGATCTACTGCTGGATGATCTAGAGAGTACAACATTGGTACCAGAGCCACGATTTAGGTATAGATCTAGCTTAACAAATAGAAATCCAGTGCGGATCTAGAATGTAGAAAGGGGCTTCGGCCAACAAAGGGTTCGGTTGAACCCTAACCTCGATCCCTTCGGATCTGAGAAAAGATGAAGGTTCGGATGAAGAAAATCTAACCTTAATTCTAGAGAGTTCGGGAAAAAGGAAAGAAAGAGAACCGATTTCAAATCGGCAAAGAATCCAAAATCGAAACCCTAACCCTAGCATGAACAGAGAAAGGATGGAGGGGAAGGGATCCTACCCGGGTCCTCTCCCCGCTGTCGTCACCGCCATGGTGCGGGAAGGGGACCGCGCCGCCTCTGCGCACGGGACAGAGCCGAGATCCGCACTGCACCTCTCACGCGTGGTCATGGCAACAGGGCACCACCATGCGGCCCCTCGACGGCGGTGTGCTCAGCCTAGGGCGAGCACGCACGCCGGCGAGAGGGCGCTGGGCGGAGCCCCTCTTCTTCTCCCTCGGCCACCGTGGACGGCTGTTGCTGCGGCTGTTCTACGAGCGGCGCTGTGCGAATGAGAGAGAAGGGGAGGCAAATAATGAGCTAGGGTTTGAGAGAGCCGCGGCCGTCGCGGGGTTTTCATCCGGCCGAAACGCAAGGAGGACCGTCGATCGGCGATCGACGACCAGCAGACACCCAGGCCGAATTAGGCCCAGGCGGGTGGACAGATTCCCGGCCTAGGCCCAGGTTGCGGCCTGGGCGCGGGGGGAGGCGCCGCGCGCGTCCGCGGGAATGGGCTTTTGGCTCTGGGCCGCGCGCACTGCTGCAGGATCGGGCCGAAATGGCCAAACAAATAGTACAGTCACAGTTTTTTTATTTTTCAGAAAACAATTTGATGAATTTGAAATGAAATTTTATGATAAATTTCTGTACAAAATTTATCCAACGATATTTTTTTGTTCAGTAAATAGTAAAGTTGCTTCTGGAAAATAAAATTAAAAGATTTATTAAAGTTTCCGCTGCGTACTTAAAAATTGTTGTTTTCATTATTAAATTCGAACCAACGGGAGAATTTAATTTTGAAACATAGAATTTTTTTACAGTTATTATAATGTTGTTATTATTCTGACCAACATTGATTAATAGCAATATTATAATGTTGATGTTATTATAGTTTTTTGTTATGCATTATATCTATTTCTGCCCAACGGTGATGTAGATTTAATGTATAAAACAATTGTATGTTTTAATTTTGATCAACGTTAAACTAAGGCATACAATTGTTGTTGTTATTATTTGTGTTCTCACACTATTTAAATTATGTTTTCAGGAGGATACAACTTGATGAGTTGTATCAAAGAGATCCCCACTCTAAAAGGTGATAACTATATTGAGTGGAATAAAAAGATAGATCTGGCTTTCATCCTCGCTGAGGTGGACTGGGTTGTCACCACACCGTGTCCTAAAGAACCTGTGGCACCGGTGAGGGAGACAGATGAGACTGATGCTGCATGGCAGAACAGAGAGCGGGACTTTGCTCCCGTAAAGATGTCTTTTGACCTTGAAAATAGAAAGTGAGTCACAGCCAATAAGAAATGTTTGGCTGTGATAAAGAATACAATTGAGCCTGCAATAGTGGGTTCAATTCCAGACTGTGACACGATCACAGAGTACCTAGAAAGAATAAAGAGTCAGTTCATTGGCTCTTCAAAGACATATGCAACCCAGCTAATCAAGCAGCTGGTTACAGAAAGGTACTCTGGTAACGACAGTGGCATTAGAGAGCACATACTGAGAATGAGCAATCTGGCATCTAAGCTCAAACCAATGGATTTGGCACTCAAGGATGAGTTTCTTATTCATTTGATTTTTGCTTCTTTGTCCAAAGAATTTGACACCTTTGTTGTTAATTACAACATACAGCCTGAAAAATGGGATTTAAAAAAAGTTCATAGCCATGTGTGTGCAGGAGGAGGAAAGAATAAAAGTTTCACAGGGTGGTACTGTCAACTACCTAAAAGATAAGAAAAAGAACTATAATAACAGCTCTTTCTCCAAGTCATCTAGAAAGGGTCCCATGCAACAGTCTCAGAACAAGCAATTCCCAGTGGATAAAGACCAGTGTCTCTACTGTAAGAAGACGGGACATTATAAAAAGAATTGTCCCGATTTCTTAAAGATGATAATGAAAAATAAAGGTGAGAACATTATTACGTTCGTAAATGAATCCTTGTATGTCAAGTTTTCAAAATCTACTTGGTGGATTGATTCAGGTGCAACTATTCATGTTGCTAATTCATTACATGGATTCCGTTCGATGAGAACTTTGCAAAGAAGCGAAAGTTTCATTAAAGTCGCAAATGGAGTACAAGCAGATGTTGAGGCTGTTGGCGATCTTCCGCTAGAGCTTGCTGATGGCTTCATACTTTTTCTTAGAGATGTTCTTTATGTACCTTCTTTGCAAAGAAACTTGATTAGTGTATCAAAGTTGGACCATGATGGTTATGATTGCCATTTTGGAAATGGCAAATGTCAGATATTGTTTAATAATAGATGTATTGGTCTTGCCTTCCGACAAGACGAGCTTTATTTGTTATCACTTCGTGAAAATGTGAATTCCGTATGTGATGTGAATGATAATGTATCCTCATCGAACAATGCTAACAGAAAACGAAAGAGAGCTCACGATACATTGTCGAAATTATGGCACTGTCGTTTAGGCCATATTTCGAGGGGGAGAATAGAAAGACTAGTTAAGAATGATATTCTTCCTCCATTAGAGCTCTCAGATTTATAACAATGTAGAGATTGCATAAAAGGAAAATATGTAAAGAAAATTAAGAAAGATGTCAAACGAAGCGTAGGAATTCTACAGATTATTCACACAGATATCTGTGGTCCTTTTCCTATAAAGAGTATGGATGGTTTTGATTCATTCATAACATTCACAGATGATTACTCCCGTTATGGCTACATTTATCCAATTAAAGAAAGAACAGAAGCGTTGGATAAATTCAAAATATTTAAAACAGAAGTTGAAAATCAGCATGATTTAAAGATTAAGATAGTCAGGTCTGACCGTGGGGGGGAGTACTACGGTCGGCATACCCCATATGGATAAGTTCCTAGACCTTTTACAAGGTTCTTACAGGAGAATGGTATAGTCGTCCAATATTCAACACCGGGTGAACCTCAGCAGAATGGAATAACTGAAAGGCATGACCGTACCCTGATGGATATGGTGCGTAGTATGATAAGTTACTCCACTTTACCGATGAGTCTGTGGATGGAGGCGTTAAAAACCGCCATTCATATTCTCAATAGAGTACCAAGTAAGTCGGTGCCTAAAACACCGTATGAGTTACGGACAGGAAGAGTACCCTCACTTAACCACTTGCGTGTGTGGGGGGAGCCCTGCTGAGGCTAAAGTTTTTAACCCAAACATTGGGAAGCTAGATCCCAAAACAGTGAGTTACCATTTCATTGGCTACCCAGAAAAGTCAAAAAGTTTTTGTTTCAACTGTCCTAACAGACATACAAAGTTTGTGGAAACGAGACACGCTGTCTTCCTAGAGGATGAAATGATAAGGGGGAGCATGGTAGCTCGAGAAATTGACCTTAAAGAGAAGCGGGTGTATGCACCCACTCTGATAATTCATGAGCCATTTTTCTCACTACATGTTGCTGCTGCACCGACAGTTCAAGACACTGTGGTGCCAGCACTTGTTGTTATCCCGCCTGTGACAACAATGAATGATGATGAGGAACCTGTTCCTCAGGATCCTATAGAACCTATTGCCACACATGAGGGGGAGCAACAACAGCCTTAAATAGAAAATGTGCCAAATGAGGAAGCCCCTAGAAGGTCTCAATGAGTTAGAAAATCAGCTATTCCTGCTGATTATGAAGTGTACAACAGTGAGGAATTTCAAATGGAGGATGATCCCACCTCATTTGAAGAAGCCATGAAAAGTGATCATTCATCAAAGTGGCTTGAGGCTATGGAAGATGAAATAAGATCAATGAATGCAAATAAAGTTTGGGATTTGGAGATAATTCCTAAAGGAGCCAAAACAGTAGGCTGTAAATGGGTCTACAAAACAAAACTTGACTCTCAAGGGAATATAGAGAGATATAAAGCCCAACTTGTGGCAAAAGGCTTTACACAAAGAGAAGGGATTGATTACAATGAGACCTTTTCTCCAGTCTCATGTAAGGATTCCTTCAGAATCATAATGGCATTAGTGGCACATTACGATTTAGAATTACATCAGATATATGTAAAGACGATATTTCTCAACGGAGACTTAGAAGAAAATGTTTACATGGCACAACCGAAAGGTTTTGTCATGGAAGGAAAAGAACGTTTGGGATGCCGCCTAAAGAAATCCATTTATGGATTAAAACAAGTTTCAAGACAGTGGTACTTGAAATTTGATCAGAC